TTAAATATACATTAAAAAATTATATATTAATAAATTATACATGACATACATAGGTAATAAAGATTTTTTTTTTAATGAAAAACTACACGCAATACATTTAAAATACTTTAGTGTAGTAACATGTTCATAGTTAAGAACCACTTCTTTTAATCGTCTGTCCAACTTCTCGTAAACTTCCTTTTTTAACGGGTAGCTCATCAGATATGTAATTTTTAATTTTTATTCTTGAAGGCCTACATRATTGTAATATATTTGTAAGTTATAATAGTACCTAATTACGTGGCATAATATAAAGATAGTGAAAATGAGATAACCATAAATTACTATTATATTGAATTCTATGTACATAGTTGGTCACCCCTGCTGGTTAGCTAACCTACGATATTTTTAATTGGGATATTTGTAACGGGGATATTTTCAACGTAGAATATTTGTAACGGGGATATTTTTAACGTGRGACATTTTGAACGAGGGATATTTTAAGGGGGAACCCCTCCATGTATAAAAATATTATTTACCAACGATAAATGTAAACATTTTTACTAGCAAATGTTTATTTTAAATTTTCGAATAACTTTTTAAATAGTTTGTAAGATAAAATATTTTATTGTTTGGATTAGGTAGGTAATCTATGGATTTATTTTATTTTAATTATATTTTATATTTTAATTAACATCAAGTAGTCTAGCACGGCAAGTCGTCTGTAGCACACGTCTGTCGACCGTCGTGCACGTACACTATCGCCCTTCGCTTATCGCGTCATTAAAATTAATGAGTACTAAGTCGAACCATATTATTCAGTTTAATTATCATCGTTTTCCGAATAATTTCGCGTGGTTTAGTTTGTTTTTAAGCGTTTAAACAAAAACATAATCTAATTCCGTCACTACCGTCACCAAATCGGCCGTAAGCCGAGACCTACAACTTATCAACCACCATGCAACGAAAYAACTCAGACACAAATGAACTTAAAAACAAATTGAAATTATCTCCGATAATTATCAAAAAAACTGCTTCTCATAAGACGCAGGACGTAACCTCTCCGTCTGCCACTTCAGATAACGACCAAGAATGGAATACTGTTGACAACAACAAGCGCATTAGGTCATCTAATAATACTAACTAATAAAAAACAAACGAGCTGTTAAATTTCTCCTCACCAAACCGCTAGTCTCTACTCGACACCAACGTAGATAGTATGGATCTCGTAATCAACAAAGAAATCAACGAGTCACCCTCGTCACCAGTTTTCTTAAAATCTCCGATTAATTTCATCACTCAGTGTAAAAACCTGGGGCAAATAACGAAAACCGAGGGCTTCCTTTGCAAATCCAACTCAAAAAATATAAAAATAAACCTTCACTCAGCCAGTTCTTATCATACCGCTATAACATTGTTCAACGAGCACAAACTTGAATACCACACGTACCAGACACACGAAGAAAAA